TACCCTGCTCCGATTGTTATTTTGCTCTATATACATCTTTACTTGTGTTAAATTCCTGACATTGATATCATTTTTGGCTGGCTCCCACACCGAAGAGAACATCTGTTTGTGGCCCTGATTGGGGATTGACCTGCAGTCAGTACTTTTCAACTGCCTGCCTGACTTTAAACTTACTAGTCATGCATAGTGTACACAAAGTCAGACATTACACAGTATAGCAGTCCATAGCTTTTTAGGTTGGCCCACAGTTAACAAAGACCATGACATGAAGAACATGAAAGAATGAAGTTAACCCCTGAAACCCCAAGGGCCCATATGTACACTTCAGTTACACACTGAATCATAACTGCATATGAACTCATATTACACTCTTACAAATAAAAGTGCCAGAAATGGGTCTTTGAAGCAGTGCCATAGAACAGGGGTGGAGAACTTCAGTCCTGGAGGGCTGGATTCTTGCACAGTTTGGTGATTTTCCTGCTCAAACACACCTGATTCAACTCAGCAGTTAATTGCCAGGTTTAGTTTTGTCAGATCAGAGAAATCAGCAAACTGTGCAGGACCCCGGCCCTCAGTTCTCCTCCCACCCCATCATAGAAGCGAGGTGATGAGGAGAGGTTGGAAAATGGTTATGTAAAAATTCATTATCATCATAAAACCATACAAATATCAAATATGTATTATATACTTAGGTGGACCTCAAAATATAACAATATAAATGCAGGATATGGGCCTTTTAAGGAATCTCCACATAATGTAAACATTCTATACCGGTTAAAGATTTTTTCTAAACCCATGAACCATTTAGGAACTTTTATGTGTAACTGTGTATTGTACTGTTTACTATGCCACACAAGCAGATCCACTTTAAACATTCAAGTGTTTTTCACAATCCCTTACTTCCCATCAGCCATAATAGAATCGACCTTTTATTTTCTTGGTTGCATTCGGGCCAAAAGACCACCTGCATGACAAATGGTTAGGTCATCTGGGGTAATAGACTGACAAGCATGGGTACACTCTGTCACTAACATCTGGCATTGCTCTTCCTGCATGGCTCTGATTCATCACCTGAAGCAGTCAGGCTGAGGCCGTCCACCAGAAGCCCTTTAGCAACCCCAAACACAGCCTGTATCCCTAACCTCCTTTGACACTTCAAAGCCCAGTCTGCCCAGAGAGGCAAAGGCAGGGCCTGGGGAATCATGGGAGACAAAGGAAGCGATTAAGAGATAAAGATCAGTCTGAGATATGACATTTCATCCCAGGCAGATCCGGTGGACACACTCCATTCAGAGAAGAATACTGCAGAGGAAAGGGAAAAGGGGTGGGCAGTTCCCCTCCCCGCTGCCCTTGCTGTCTGTCTGCAAACATGGGAAAGGGTCGACTGCTCTCCGACAAACAATCGCCTCCAGCCCGTGCTCCCAACCAGCCCCCTTCAAAAAAACAGGAGCAACAAGGTGACACGACTTCAAAGGAAGGTACGGCCTAAAAGGCACATTAAGGGGGAGGCCCGCGCCACCAGAGAGCGTCTGGAAAGAAACACTCGCCACGCACTGAAAGAACGACACACACTAACCCCACGTTAACTTTAATGTTCTTTCAAAGAAAGATATAATGTTCATCTTGCCTTTAATTTTCTTTCAAATGTCATTATCAATACAAAAGAAGTGGGAGTGAAAGAAAAAAAAAACGTTCCATTGTGGACCTAATTGCCACAAGGTCAAGTTACAGATCTGGTTTCACATCCGTGCTTTCAAACGGCAGCCTGCAAAACCTAGAGCACAATCCACCTGTCTCTATCAGGTGAGCTCAGTGGCAATATATTAACAGAGGACCTTTGAGAAAACAAGCGGGCTGATTCATAGCAGGTATCAGAAACCGTCGCCTTGTTCTTTCACGTGCAGGTAAACAAAAGCCGCCGGGCGAAGCGCTTCTGGTTCAACTGAACGCAAAGTGTTTATTGTCTTGCTCTTTAAGTCTTACGGAGTATCTGTCTCTAAACGCAGGTTATGAGTGTCTCTTTCTTTTTAGAAGGTGTTTACAATGCACAATTAGGGCTTTGTTGGAATCATCTAACAGTTTAAAAATGCTGGGAAGGATCCCAGCGTAGGCCCTGGAATGATTTGGCTCCTGGTGAAATTCCAGTCACACAGAGAAGGGAGGCAGATGCAGGACCTGAGAGCAGCACACCTGTTGGAAAGGTTACGAGGGAATGCTGGGGAAAAAAGGGAGAGGCCAGTGGACAGTTAGAGGGCAGGCAGAGCCAAGGGCCATATTTTCATTAGCTGTACCTAATGAAACTGCACGGCAACCGGGAAGAAAGCCCTACTGCTGGGACTCACTACCCGCTCCAAAATTACACTGCCACTCCAACAACAAAAGGGGCATTCCGTCCTCGCAGCGACACCAGCACTTAACACCCAGTTTCAACTCTGAGCGTTTCCTCTCCACATGGAAATTTCCACTCTGCCAGCCCACAGGTAGCATGTGTCTGTGTTGAGCAACTGAAAGCAAAGTATAGGAAATGCTGGCTTAAGTTGGAGCTTGTATAAGGATAGTAGAGGATGATGCTAATTTAGATCTTTGAACTATTATTTTTATTGGTTACTGCTGGGCTGGATTTCTATGCCAGCTTTAAAATGCCAAATAGAACTTCTTCAGGCCAGTGCAAGTAAGGGTCACCCTTTATTTTTATAGTTCCCTGTAAAGCTACAAATGCTTGATTGTTAAAAAAACTGTCTGGTTTATCTTAGTTGATTTTAGCACTGGTAGGGTTAGAAGTTCACAACATCTACCAAGCATCTAGAGTGGACCACCAAAATAAAGTGTAAAAGAAAGAAAGGTTTTCTAAATGGTTCTCGACTTGGACATATGCTTTAAAAAAACACTATACATTGAAAGTAGGGCTTGACTGATACGTGGCAATAATTTGTGCCTTTTGTTTTTTTGGCCTTCCTTTTGGGGGTTTAATGCACAATTTCCTCAAGACAGGGCAAAACTTTGGACAGTTTCACAGGATAGCTCGATATGAGGCATTCTTTGTTTACCTATACAGCAATAAAGGCAAAACTGGTGATGCTGGACACAAAACACCTTCATGATAAGCATTACAAAACCACATAAAATGCATCTACACCTAACCTTTAGCATTAGAATAACATCTTATAACAAAACCATGTTTGTTTTAATGAACAGAACTAATAAAACATTAGAAAAAGAGGTGATGAACAGAAACCAAAAGCAATATTTTATACAAATGTATTACAAGACTGTCAGTTTCTGTTGTTTAACTGAGCTTACAATGTTTGAAAAGTGACAATCATGTCAGTCAATAAAACACTGTTGAGGTAAAACTATTAGAGTACAAAATTAAAAGATGAATATAAAGTTATATCATATAGTGTTATTGATAATCAGAATTTTATATTCCAGTAGTTTTACTTAAACAGTGTTTTAGTGACTGATATGACTGTCACTTTTCAGTGGTCAGACATCTTAACTTTGGGACCTAAAATTGGTAGCGACAACGATCGGGCTCTAATTGAAAGCATCTTTAAGAAACCGAAAGTGGTTTTCAAGGGCAAACGTCTTCAAATCCTCACATTGAATCCAGCTTTCAGTCCTGTATTTTGTTACCACTGGTAGTTAAAGAGGAATTCCACCAATTTTTCAAAAAGTCTGCATAATAAATGGTTAACATGTAAACAGTCATTCCGCCTCTAAAGCTCTGTCACAGAAAGTTATTACAAGCCTCCTGGCGCCTGACACATAGTTTTCATATAAGATTTTGGTCTAAAACATGTTTTTTAATATCCATTCATAGCAGAAAGATACATACAGGGTGTTGTAAGGCATAATAGTACCCAAGGAAAACTATTTTTAGATGTACCACTATTTTCAGAGGACGCAGTTTTGCTGGTTATTTTGAATAGTAAGTAAAATGATTATATTGCTACTGTGTACATACACTAGACATACAGACATATTGTAGACATCATGACCCCTGATTTCTATCACCACCATTGCAAAGAAATTTACTACAATCAACCATTTCACTTTAAAGCATTTTAAAGACTTTGCTTAAATCTCAACATGTGAATTATGCAGAAATTTTGAAAAATTGGTTTAAATGTATGTCTTTATTATTTTATCTGTTGTTTATGTAACTGATTGGCCACTGATTGGCCAATGAATGATTGTCATACCTTCCAGCGACTGCAAAATTCTGCACCAGAAACTGGATTCAGATTGAAGATCTTTATTCTATGGCATCGCCTTACATTTTTATCTTTAAACGTTTCAGAGGGTTTTTAAATGTTTACTCCCAGACTTCTCAGTGATCTCCATTTGTCAAATACATGCACAATTAGTTAATTTACTGAAAGATTTTAGTTTTGCGATACAAACCCAGCAAAATCTATAGGTTATCACGAGTCCATTAAGTGTTGCAGCAACACTAATAGATATCCTATTACTGATCTGGCTTTGATTTGCCAGGCTGAAAATAAGTCCTCCAGACCAGGTATTGTCATTGAGCATTATGCATATGACTGAAATATGCCTCTGGCCATGACCCTTTCACCTGGATAAGTCTTGGAGGGTCGGCAGAGTCACTGAGATTAGATGGACTGTCCACTTGTGAGCTAACTGCAGCATGGCCGTGTTCTCTCTTGCGTGATGGCTCACAGCTCCCCACGCTGAGTGCGTGTGTGTGTCTCAGGTACAAGGCTGAAGCACAGAGGTGTCTCTCAGGAGCAGAGGTGCAAGCGAGGGTGAGAGTGTGTGACACGGATAACCCCCACAGATGGAAAGCGGCCGCTTCTAATGTTTCACCCCCCTTGGCTCGCACTCTACACACTTGGGACCATGTGTGAAAGCGGCACAGTGAGTGGGAGACTGAAACAAGAGGCTCTGACCTCCAGCTGCACTGACATCGCCTGTCAGCACCCAACTCACCCCCCCCCCACCCCTCCACTTCCAAATAAACCCCCATCCAATACCTAGCAAGGAGCGGCTCAAGGGTGCACGAAGAAACAGGTTTTGAGCTGCGGACCGCACAGAGCGACGCCCCCTTTCTCAACAACAGGGGCTTTTGAGTGCCCAATCTAGCATAGGAAAGCACTCTTTTATCTGAAGCGACCGCTTTCAAACAAATCGAGTGACTTACTAAGCTGTACCAAGTCAGGTGCACCGGTACTATTACAGAAAAGAGTGAATGGGGGAAAAGAAGAGGGAAATATGGTAAGTTAGAGAAATGGTTGGAGTGGTTAGAGAAACTCAGCAGCACAAAGGGCACTTTTTTAATTGCAATAACTAGTACAAACTAACAAAAAGCTTTTTAGCTGAAACCCTACGTAGGATAAGTTCATCCAAACACAAGTGATGTCATTTTTTGTTCTTAGGAGGGGGTTAATTGTCTATAAACCGCTAAGCTTTAAAGCTGAATGTTTGGTTAAAGGCCTCCTGAAGGGTCAGTTAGTCTAGTAATGTCAACAGACAATAATGAGCTTTTTGTAAGTGCGTGAAAACAGTACAAGACAAAAAGTCGTTGTGATCACAATGGGCCATCCAGTTACAATAATAGAAACGGGGTAAGCCATGAAAGAATACCTTTATCTCATATAAACAGGGAGTTTAAGGGAATACTGAAATTAATCTGGTGTTTCTGAGAGCTTTTTAAATGTTTTTAAACCATATAAAGTTCACCAGCTCCCTTAAATGATTGAGCAAGTACCAAAAGACAGGGACAGAAAATGTCCTTTCAATCCAAACTTAAAAGCATTACGTGGTACCATTACATACAATTCTGTGGTTTAGCTTACATAAATGTTTAGATTACAGCAAGTCGTGTTGGCTCTCGCCATTTTAACTAATGCGTGCCCTCTTCATGAAGGCGAGGTGGGATAATGAACTGCCCCACAATTACCATGACTTGCCGATGTTATCTTCAAGCAGTAGAGCAGCTGAGATGTGTGTAATTGCTCTGTCAGCCGGCTTTAAAGCGCTCCCCTCTGCCCTCAGCCACTTCAAAATGAAATTCTTCTCTATACTTCTCTCTCTCCACTCATCTGTTGAGCCTGTGTCTGATGGAGAATCTTCAGAGAGAAAGCTTACACTTTACTGAGGGGCGCAGAGGAAGAAACACTGTTACAACTATGTGGTAACAGAACTCTAAAATGTTTTCTACTACAGATTTGAGATGACAGACTGGTGTTAAATCCAGTACAAACTCAGGGGACAATGAGTAACCCCCAACCTGATGAGAGAATTGTCAACTGTAGGTGTTGGACTGATTATTTATAAAGGGTATTTAGGCAATTTAGGGCTATCTAGTCTGCCTTAAAATGACCTTTTAACACAAGAAGAACACAGCACTACTGTTTTAGTAGTAGTGTTGTTTTCAGCTTTTCAGAGGAAGCATGAGTTCACAGTCAAATCAGTGTAAACCTGACTTTCTCCACTGTTTCTCTACTGCTTTGCCTTTTTATAACCAAAATTAAATTAAATGAGCTAAAAAAAAACATGTATGCTGCTCACATTAAGTTTTAAGAACATGACTTCTACACAACTATGTTAACCTCCTCCTTAATCTGACGCCACGTTCAAAGCCCTGCCGTTGGCTCTATGGTGGAGGACGGCCTAGTCGTCAAGCTGTAAATAAGTGAAGTAGAAATCTATTGTCTGATGGTTGGAGGTTGGAGACAGGCGTCTCATTCAGCAGGAGACAAAGGCAGGAGACAGACGGTCTAACCTTTGATTCCTTCCAGGGAGAGGTGGCAGTGTCTCGGCACACGTCTGCCACGATCACAGCGCAGCGCCATGTCCACACACTTGTAAAGAAGTCTATCTTAATCAGTTTCGCTAATGGCTGTGGAGAGCCGTAGACTACAGCCTGCTGAAGGAGATTATACTCCAAACTTGCTGGTGCTTGTGTGCTATAAACAATGCTCTCTAAATTTCAAACGAGCGCCTCCCCTTATTCATGACCCATTTGTAAAAGCCCAAAGTGTTTTGGCCTTGCACTACCTTTATATTAATCTCACGTTTGTCTTGTAACGTTTCACCATTTATTAAAAAAAAAAGGAACAAATTATGGGGACATCTAAAATCACATGTCTAAAAGTTGATGCAAAAACGTGAATTAAAATCAAAGTACATTTATGATTTCTTCAACTGATTTCTCACACAAACCAGTTAATCATCTCACACAGTGCTCTATTTTCGTACACAAATGATGCATGTTGCTTTTGTTCATCTGCTCAAATAGGAAGCTGGCTGGGAGGTTATGCATTTCCCATTTTCTTTGTAAATGTATATAGTATGAAAGAAATAAATATTACCAGTATATATACTTTACATTTTTGGTGATTTTTTTTGTATTATTTTCTCATTTAAAACCCTTATACAATCTAATATACATTATGAAAAGTTGTACAGCTTCTTATTAATGTTTAAAATAAGGTCTCACTTTTATTTTTTTAATATGTAGATATAAATATATATATTTTGTCAAAATATATGATCATATGGTCAAGGAAACAAAAAGGAGACAAACATACATCTTATAAATAAGCGTCCAAGTGATGATATTTGGGTGTACAATGGGGCCGTTAGACATCGGCGCTAGCATTTCTTAATTCGTAACGGGCTAGCGGCAGCCACAGCCCTCTACAACCATTTCTTGATAGTTTTTCAGGACCACCCTGTCAGTCTCATCCAAGTAGAGCATTGAGATGGCACTGAGCTCAGTGGGCACGCAGCAAGCCTTGGGGATATTGCTGTTCACCGAGTTGACCAGTGTTTGTACAATAGCGTGGTTAGTGGAGTTCAGATGGTCCGCCAGAGGGAAAGGGCATTCCCCATGACAGTAGTAGGCCTGGTAGCCGGGAGGGGCCACTATCCAGTCGTTCCAGCCTACTTCACTGAAGTCCACATAGAGTGCGTGTCTCCGGCAGTTGCGGTTGCGCTTGCGGCCTCTCTGCTTAGGGCTGCGTTTGGTCCTGCGTGTCAGCGGGTGGCCTTTGCCATCATGGCCGAAAGTCACCAACAGAGGGCGCAGCTGGTCCCAGTCTTCGCCTGGAGCCTGGTGCAGGGAGCGGCTGATGCGCACATGCTTGTCCTGGTGCCGCGGCGTTCGGTTCAGATGCAGCACCTCAACGGCCAGTCCATGATTTGGCAATCTGTCGCGGGTCCAGCGCAGCACAGCTGGACTCACATCAAAACTCTCCCAGTTGGAGGTATTGTGGCGCACCAGTCGCGTGTCCAGGAGCCGCGTGATCAACTGCCCGGGCCGCGGCGGCTTTAGCACCTCATAGACATTTATCCGGTGGAGCCCTTCATTTCCAGCATCCTCTGAGCTGGCCTCTTCGATCTGCTTTCTGTACAAGCGCAGCTCAGCTGTGGACAGCAGCTCGTCCTCCGGGATGCTGCTGAGGTTGAAGAGGAAACGAAGTGGAGTACCGGTGGTATATGGCCCATCTGATGGCACCTGCTCCATATGCTCTGAGGGAAGAGACACAGAGGATACACAGGTTAGTTCTTCAAGCTTCAAATGTGTTCAAAATGGTCCCTATCACCAATTGTGGAACAAGAGAAGCACTATATATGACACTATTACAAAAAACAAAATTCATGATTCAATTAATGAGAAGAATTATTAGCTGATCAGTTAATTAGTTAAAAAAGCCTTCACGAGTTAGAGTCTTAGAAGTCTGGAGCCTTTTCACAGTAGCCATAATATGCAATTTCCGCCTGTTTTGGACGTCCCTCAGTTTTCATAAGTCAGCAAGCAAGTTAATATTTCTAAAACATTTATCTGTCAACATTTATCTGTTTTATCTCAGCAGGGCCATCTTTACTGAGAGGTAGGAAATGTAGTTATGGAGAGGTGGGAACTGTACTCTTTTTTCACCCCTCTTTGCTCATTAGCAGCTCAGCACCGTCAAAACATTTTACACAAAAGTGGCCAAGTTAATAATAACAGTGTTAGGGGGGAAATATTTTATTTAATTATATTAGTCAAAAGTACCCGAGTTGATTTCTATTCCAATGATTAAAAGCTGATCTCCAGAAAGAGGGCAGACACCTAAAGTATCCCTGGTTATGTGTGGTGACTAGCTATCCTCAGAGATACCAAACCAAATGACACAGTACATTATGAGTAGCCAGTATTTGCCAAAGCAGCTATAATTTGTACACCTATTGAAATGCACTGTGGGACTGTAAGAAAGCACATGACATACTTCATTATGTTTTTAAACACCATTACAAAATGGTAGGCTTCCAAAACAGCGCATTATATATTTAATAGGGCATAGTTTCAGTCAGGCCAAGACAGACTCTTTAAACTAATAGTTCTCCTGTCTTTCTTCTATAGCAGGGGTGCACAGTTCCAGTCCTGGAGGTCTGGTGTCCAGCACAGTTTGGTAATTTCTCTATTCAAACACTTCCCCTAAAACTTCAATCAGAAGAGCTGAATGAGACATATTTGAGCAAGAAAATCATCAAACTGTGTTGGACACCGGCACTCTAGGACTGGAGTTGTGCACCCCTGCTCTATAGACACCAGTGACCTTCCCTCTCTGTTCCTGGACTCTCCAAGCTGATGCTCATTATCCACCCAAATCCTATACATCAGAATCTGCTGTTTCTCCACTTGGGCATGCCTGAGGGAATTTAATTTAAAGTAAACTACATTTGCATATGTGGCCAAAGACCACTTAATACATACAAAGTATGTACACACTCACCTTCAGCAGTCACAAGGGTTTATTTAGCTCACATACATGCTTCCCTATCTGTGGCCTAGATCACAAGAATCCACACTGTCTGTTCTCCCCTGGCTGTGCTGAGAAGTGCATTACTGAGACAGGCCTGATTACTGCGCCGTGGCTGCAGTGCAAACAAAGCGGAGGGTAACTGTTCCGTGCTCAGTCTGCAGATTTCTGGCACGATCACTATTGTTGGAAAACGAATGTTGTGTCTGCCATGTTCCTGCTCAATTTGGCCCTGTTATTTCACACCCAGGACCTAATCTCGACCAGGTGGTTCTTGTTATTGGAACAATCTGTGTTTTTGATTAGATCTGCAGTTTGTTAACTGGGGACATTTATCATTTTCATCATGAATAATCATTAGCTGTTCACTCAGACAGTCTTTGGTGGCAGAGAATGTCTGGCTGCACCATGTTAATACTTGCATTTTAATAACTGTGTTTATTGAAATGCCATTCAAACTTGAGACCTTTCCTGCACCTTATCACACTCAGTAGTCTGGAGAATTTTGCACTTTGTAAAGCGTTTAACAGGTCATAAGGAAAACATAAGCAAACCAGCGGAAACTTTTTATCATTTTTCAATCTTTTCTATTATAGAGTTAGGAAATTCTTCAACATGAAGGCCAGTTTGGACAATTTTGCTTTCCTCTTTGTGTTCTCTGGGAGCCAAACAGGCCACATTAAGACTGGCTCCTCCCTTCCCAATGGCAGACATCTTCTCTACTCTTTCTTTTTCCTTTACTGTGCTCTGTATGCCTGTCCCTATCACTACGATCTTATTTAGGAACACATATGGCCAACAAAATAAATAAAAGACAAAATAACAGGAATGCTCTGCTTGCCATGCTGGTGCCCCTCTATCACCTTGGCACTGAGAGTTTGTTTTTCCAAGGCTCCTGGGCACTCTGTCTGCCTAAGTGCCCACATTGTTGGCAGCAGGACTTTATTTAGAAGTCTGCAGAGTAGCATTAAAGATAATTGCATGTTAAGGAAGGTCCCTCAAAAAGATCTACATAACTGAAGGCAGAGGCACACTGCTGCACAGTCTTTAGCCATACTTGTTTTAGTGTTTTGAGCATATGCAGTGATATAAAGATGCATTTTATCTTTTTTCTGAGAGGGACTTTTTTATCATTTTCATCAGCAATGATTAGCCACTGAGTCTGATAATCTTAGTTGCAAGGAATTGTGGTAACAAAACCTTATATCTCTGAAATGGTAACTTTATAATACAATCAAAAACGTATGAACTTATTGAGATTTTTAAGCAAATTCAGACTATTTCTATTGGTCCATTTAACGTGACAAACATAAGTATTTACATGAGTCTTACCTTCATGATGGAATGCTCTTACAGTGTTGGCTCGGCTCGTGGACCTCTCGGGGTACTCAAAGCTGACCTCCTGAGCTCCGGCCTCGTCCGCCTCCCCCGACTGCAGCCGGTAGAGGTCCAGCAGATACTGGGGCACCACCGCCGAGCGGCTGGGCCGTGGCCGCCTCTGCAGGCCAAACATGTGCAGCAGCGTGGCCTCAAAGTCCCGGAGCAGTTCATGACTCTGACCCGGGTGATGACCCGACACTTTCTTCTTTCCTTCCTCAGGTATCAAACTAGCATGGTTGCTCTCTCCCAGTACGACTTGGCATAATAAAATGACCATCAGCATTCGATTACCAGGAATCATGATGTCTCTGGTGGACAATTGATGACAAGACAGTGTGGTGGAGGAGGCAAGGGGGGGGGGTTGGAGTAGCAGAAAAGAGGGTGGAAAAAGAAAGAGAGAGCACTATGTTTTAAGAGATGTTTAACTCCCCACAACACAACCCCCAACAATTCCACAGACCCGAAGCTGCCTTATACTTCCCAATGAAAACATTTTTAATGGGTAATAATTACTCAGTCTGGCTTGTTTAAAGGCCGATGATCAGATATCCTCTATCCTTTTTATCTACAACAACATCCTCAACGAATAAACAGCTAGTGAAAAAGCTTGAAAAAAACTCTTGAATGGAATCTAGTGGAGCCATACACCACCCCCCTCCTCCCCAGCAGGATGATTAGACAAATAAGACAAGAGCAGCCTCAGGGTCAAAGCAAACTCTAACTCGATAAGGAGCAGGATCCCTACAAGCCTGACCCAACTAAGGCCAAACAAAGGAGCGCGTGCCACACATTTCACAAACTTTTAGAGCAAAAGTCAAAAAGATCCCTTTCTTTTGCCACTGTTTGGTAAGAATGACTAAATGACTAAGGCTTAAATTTGCTCCTAGAAATCATATACCCGAGCAAGTCCTCGGAAAACAGGCCCAAAAATGCAGTGACCCTGTCACATGGCATAAATTGGATAGGCGTGGTCCACTTACCGACAGAAAATAAAGCATGGGAAAACAGTCCATGTTTGTTGGGAGCCAACGCTGGACGAGTTCTTTGAGGAAATGTTACGTGGTGCTGGGAGGCTGCTTGAGAACTTTGGAGAGAGTCTTGTCCTGAAAAAAAGAAGATAAAAGCAGAAAATTGTCACTGATTCTCATATTCAACTCATATACAAACAGAAAAAACGGAAACAAGAAAAATGAACTTAAGAACACATCGCTGACAAAGTATTACATTAACAGTTCCATGACCAACAGAGCAGACAGTTAATCCCCCCTTTGCTCTCCAGCGCACCAGAGCTATCTGTGCTCATTAGACGTGCTATCAGATAGCACATGACAGTTCAGAGATGATAGCAGAGCCTAATTAGCATGAAAATAGAGGTGAGGCTTGTCAACAAAGGGATCCCACAACTGCTTCTCTTAACGGCTCCTGAAAGCAGTCCAGTCGTCATCAGTTTAACCCCTCCCTAAGAGGTCACCCAAACCGAGCAGAGAGGTGGAGTCTTCCTCATCACTGTCAGCACCATTGAAGTTCATCCTTCTGCTGCTATACATCCATCAAATGAGATGGAAATTACAAGAACCGTGCTTTATCATTTTAAACTCTATATTGAAATTTTGTGGTGTTTACTGAATAATAATAAGCCTACAGTTTTAAGAGTAAGTATAACTAGCACAGCACAATTCAAATACAAAGCAAAGTAAATACACAAACTAAGGCAATAAGGATCTTTAAGAAAACCATTAAAGATGGTACACTGGTGACAATATAACACAATAACAAAGTGAATTGGTGGACCGGACCCTTCCAGTCATGCAATTTCTAAGACTTCTGCAGGATTAATCTCTGTCAGTACAGTGAGGAAGTGCACTAATAATATTAGGAGTGTTGGTCAAACAAGGCCTCAACAAACAACGGCACCACTGAGAGGACAGCCCAACTCGATGGGTGAGAGCAGCAACGCGTGCATTTTGTCATCTTTTGGATTGGGTTCCACTGGAGTGAGCCCAAACATTACAACAGAAATGATGCATATTAACAAGAACGCTGGGTGAGTGAGTGTATGTATGAGTGTGTTTCATGAGCGCACAATTGTTAGTGTATTTTATTGCTCCATTTGGTCATTCTTCATGCAATCAAGGAATGATTCTGGCACCAGATCTTGGTGGTGACCCTTGTCTGACCCTGCATGCTCCGTTGTTATAGTGTGTGGTTTGGACAGAACTCGCATACATTCGATCGCAGAGCTAAGCTTTCCAGTGACAAGTTCAACAGAAGTGTGGGGATACAGTTTGGGAGGTAATGGACTTTTGTGTCTGGAGGTGGGGGGGGGGGTTCTGTGAGGATCATGCTTTCTGTTCAAGGTTTAGTGGATTTAGGCCCCCTAATGGAGTAACAGCTAAAATGAACTTTAATATGTTTTATGCAGTAATTTGTAGTTCAACGTGATCAGCACAACTATAAAGATTAATATCATTAAAAGGCCACTAAACATAGTCAAAACACACATATATGGAAAACATTCAGACCATCAACCCTTATTTAAAACCGCTGTCCAAAATGTTTACAATTTTTTTTGATGTACTCGAGAATGAAGACGAGCAATGCAGGCTCTTTTGCAACGAGTGCAGCTTATGGTGCAATTTGGCCTGGGCTGCTTGCTTCCTCTGGTTTGGCAGAGCGCTGTGGGCCTCACGGCGTTTGACTTCACTCTCCCTAACCCGACTTAATGAGAGCCGACTATGCACATGGCCCTTTAGATGTGTTTCCTGAGGATTTGACAGGGAATGAGGGGGGGAGCAGGTTACCGCAGGAACAGACAATAGTAAGGACCCAATTTTAGCATTTTATCTCTGTCACGCTTCATTCAGATCACACCAGAACGTCTTTAGAAGTCGCCGCTCCCTGAGCTGAGAAGGCTGCATTGTGTTGTTGTCTTCTGTTTTGGGGGCTTTAGTGTGCAGATGTATGGCTTATATAATGTCTAACATGCCTGGAGTTGTTGAGGTCATTTGTAGATTTTACATTCCAGAATGTGTATGAGGATAAAAAGGGGGGAATTAATTAGCAAAGGGAACATTAAAGAGACTCTCTATTGCGCAATGTATGTTGACTATAAGCATTCAGAGCACACATAACTTTTCACTCTATTTACGGTTTATGCCTCTTTAAACAGGGTGACACCTCATTTTGCCGGTGCTCTGCTATACTCACAGTTCGCTTCAAATTACCTGCTATTTAAACTGTGAAGAACAAAACTGCTCCGTATCCGTTTCCCCTTTTTTCATGGAAAGCTGAACAACACATTTGCAGGTGTTTCTTTTAATCCTCTCACTCACTACAAGACTCTTTTCACATGATTCTGAGTATATACTAATCAGTCTATCAAAATAGAAAGCAGGATGAATGTGTGGTCTGAGTCTGCTAACTCTTTTGCTATTTGTGCAAATAAAACTCTATGTGACCATATTTAACTTTTTCACCCCCCCCCTCACCCCCCATTGTTCCACTATCGCAGCCATACGTTTCTTAAAATAAAATAAGCGAAAATACACAAAGCAAAACAGCTAGGTTTGGCAACGTCAAGTTCTCTGGAGTTGATTTATTACTGAGACGGCACTCCCCGCAGTTTGCTCTGATATGTGGAACCACTTTTAAAATGTGCTTAGTCCCTGTTTTAGTCTCTCCCCCCCCATGAGTTTACTGCGGCCAGGGCCCGGGGCCCATCTATACTGAGCTCTGAGGCCAGACTGACCAATTTTCTGAAGGGCAGAAGACACAGAGTACCACAATTAGGGACAGAAGTAAGAAAATAAACTGAGTGTGTGGCCAAAATTAGATGAACAGAAAAATGTTGAGATTCTTTACAGAAGTACACAAAGCTTTTGAAACCTTTCTGTTTCTCCACCAAGCAATTCATTATGCTATTTGATTTTGTTTACTAGTTTGTTTACTAAGACTAGTCTGTTTCCTCTCTAAACAGTTGATTATACTACACCACACTACATATATTACAGTTTATACTCTTTATATACTTTCTAATAGTTTGATGTTTCTCAGTAAGGTATGTCTGGACCAAACAAGAAAACCACACGCACTGCGAAATCAACACCACTTTACCCAATTTAGCTTCTCAGAAGAAACAACCAGTTTCCACAAGACTGTAACTCAGTGTATCTCGTTCTCTTTATGACCTGCACGCGCTAACAGCTCAACTACAACCCGGTCAGAGCAGCATTAGCTCTCCTGCCTTCACACAGAGCAGAGGATAGCAGCAGGAGACTCGGGAAGCGCGCGCAGGTGCGCGGCCCCTCGGCCCATCTGGAAACGGGACAAAACGCGCTGCGCTTTCCAGTGAAGCTTGCATGGAGTGTAGAGACAGAGACAGAACTGTTCCACTTCCAGCCTCCCTGCTGTCCCTCTGACTTATCCACTCCATGCAGCTTTACCTACAGCTAAATTACGCTTCACACAGCTGCGCGAACGGGCTCGAGCGCGCGCAGCCACAAGCAACCACAAGCGTCCAACCCCGAGAACGCGCGCAACTCCTAAACATCCATCCCGTCCATCTCCATCACACCGTCCAGAACAGAGCGGAGAGCACTCACCATGGGTAGAGGCGCGAGCTGTATCCTCAGGGCGAAGGCAAAACGGGACGGAGGGGGTCCTCTAAAGAGCTTCAAAAGCCACGCGACAGAAGTCCGCTAAAAGAGGGCCGAAGCTCGCGCGTCTCATTAGGTCCGAAGTGTCCCGGGACAGAGCGCAGGCTGGTAGCTCCAGAGCAGGACGCGCGACTCACACACTCACTCACAGACTGATCTGCAGCTCCAGCGCTGCTGCACTCTTTATGAGTCCCGCCCAGTTCAGGCCTGCGCTCTCCTCCTCCTCCACTCCCACCCTCCTCTCCCTCCCTCAACCCCCCCCCCGCCCCCCCCTCCAACCCACCGGCCTGTCCGGCACCTAAGATAAACCACCTCCCCCTCGCGCTCCCCAGAGAACACACACCGAAAATCAGAGCGTTTTATTTTTACAACTGTTACATGGCCCTCTTTTCTGACTGTCTCTCTCTCTCTCTCTCTCTCTCTCTCTCTCTCTCTCTCTCTCTCTCTCTGAAAGAACACACTGTGGAGCGTGTCATATTTTTTGGAATATATGGTTTAGTGCACCAGCTCCCCTTTGGCCACTACATGTATCCTGTTAAAATGCCTGCTTGGGTTTTCGTCGGACAGGTTGAATGCACACACATTCACGCCATTCACATTCACATACACACACGTATGCATGTTCACACGTGCGCACACACATACACGTGCATACACGCATGCACGCTCATAAACAGGCATTGGCATGTAATGTGCATGTAGTTTGGTGTGTGTGTGTGATATATATATATATATATATATATATATATATATATATATATATATATATGTGTGTGTGTATATATATATATATATATATATATATATATATACACACACGCACACACTATAAAGTGCTATATGGTAAGTGCAGCTGATAAAATGGATACACTCACTGTCCATTTAAAGCTGTGGGTGACCATATATATACATATATATATATATATATATATATATATATATACACGTGTTAGTGTGTGTTGTAGTGGTGCTGGAGTTCTTAAACACTGTGTCCACTCACTGTCCACTCTATTAGACACTCCTACTTTGTTGGTCCACCTTGTAGATGTAAAGTCAGAGACGATAGCTCATCTGTTGCTGCACAGTTTGTGTTTGTCATCCTCTAGTCCTTCATCAGTGGTCAAAGGACACTGCCCACAGGACGCTGTTGGCTGGATATTTTTAGTTGTTGGACTATTCTCAGTCCAGCAGTGGCACTGAGGTGTTTAATATCTCCAGCAGCACTGCTGTGTCTGATCCGCTTGTACCAGCACAACACACACTAACACACCACCACTACATCACTGTCACTGCAGTGCTGAGAATGATCGACCACCCAAATAATACCTGCTCTGTGAGGGTCCTGTGAGGGTCCTGACCATTTAAGAACAGATGAAAGGGGGCTAACAAAGTAACCATGTGAATTAAGGACAAACTGCTAACAGCAGAGTTTTCCTTATGATGTTTTCTCAGTGTATTCTGAATACATTACTTTTTATGTGTTTTAACAGAATATGTTACTGAATGCATTTGGGACAGCAATTACCCTTCCATGTACATACGACTACTTCTGTTTTGGCATTATATCTTGGTTTGGCTATAAAGATAAAGAGTAGAAATATTTATAAACTCTATAAACTATTATTAACTAACTGATGTAGACACAATATTCATTTTAACTATGAACTCTCGTATTAATGTACAATATCATATTGTGTCTACATCATAATTATATATAAACCAGTGCAGTCCATCCCTGCTGATTATATATAATATAGAATTGACAGTATTACACTTGTTACACCCAATGTAATTCTTTTATTTACCAATCAAATGTGATGCTCCTGGTCTAGTAATAGATGCACCCCCTTATCTTGCAAAACAATTCTAAATCAGGCCAGCTATGACCTGTCACAAAATTTTAATTTCTTATATGTATATTTCCTTTATTGTACAATTACATTGATCTGAATGGGCCATTATCAAAAAAGAAGGTATGTACTGAATGAAATGTAATTATTTATTAAATCCATTAGATCCCTCCACCCCACAACCCAGAAAGATAAGCGGTTTAGTAAATGTGTGAGTGTATGTTTGTGTATAGATCCCTCCATCTCCTTGGTCAAGGTCTTTAATCCAAACTCACAAACATAGTGGGGGCAGCCCCCACTAGTCAAATTACACTGTTTTTTTAATGATTTTTGGAAAAAAGTCAACACAGGAAACACATTTCTGCATATTTGTAATGCACAAATACTGTTTATTTACTAAATTTAACCTATTGGAAAACATAAAATGCGGCCTTATGCAAAAGTTTGGGTACCTCTGGTCAAATGACGCTTTGTTGATTTTCATCAACATTCAGAAGGCACTTCATGCAAATGACTGGGGCTGTTTGTTACACCTCATGTATGCCAGTCAATTCAAGTGTTCACTGACATACCTAAACAACCCCATGAGGCGGAGGATGGCCTGTTTCACATATATGAAACATAATCCCATATAAGTTTTACACAATGTTGCTTCTTCACCATCTAATGACACCAGTGGTCCCACCAAGCGGCTTTATCAGCTCTTAGCTCCCATGGAAAGTCATCTGCACTGAGGAGCAATTAAACAGGATTTGCGGCGCTTGCATTGTTGCATGACCTTTACAGTAGAAAAGGGAGATCAGTGAATGTCCCTTATCACCAGGATCACTACGATTCTTCTTTCTGCCCACTAAAGGCCCTGTGTGTGAATGAGCCCTCACAGACACTCGCTCATTAGCATATAGCTTCCCTGTCTGCTTGACAGAGGGTCATAAGGTAACACTCACCTTTAATTCATCACCACCCTCTCCGAATCCACAGTAAAGAAAAAACTGGTCACATGTCACACGTGGAGGGATAGAAGTTGACCTGGGGGGAATGGGCAAATACCATTACAGGCCTGTCATTACATTTGTTATGTAAATGAAATCAAGTAACTGCCCACTCAGCACTATACACAGACAGTTATCAGCCAATGAGCAGCCTATAAAGCACACACACTCGATATTCATGACAAATCTTTGTTTATTAGAATCCTCGTGTTTATCATATAGATGCCTCTGTGAGTCAATGACCTGTAGGATAACAGGGAGCATTAGGACTACTGAGGACCCCCCACATCTGGCCAGTCCGGGATGCTGTGTTATTGCACCCTATGGCTGTGCTCATGCAGCAGCTGTTCACTTGCACTGTCCCGGCTCAGGGTGCATTGCACTCAAGACACCCTGTCCACAACACTTGCACTGGCCATGAGCCCAGCTGTAAGCTGGTGACCGGTTCTGACTCCCCAGTGGATCCCAGAGGTTATATATCTTTATTGGATTTCTCAAACAACTGGACTTCTCTGTACTTTAGACTTACTCTGTACTACTTTGTCAAATTGATCCTGTAGTAAAATAGACTTCTTACACCAATGCCTCTTTATGAGTTTTCCAACCATAGGCCTACACGTAAAAGGGCTATTATGACTTTTTTTGTATCATGTCAGCTTTTAAATCAAATCAACTCACTGCAATCAGCGCAATACTAGTGTATATTTTGTGTATATTGTGTATATATGTATATATTTCTAATATATGTATATATTTCTAATATATATATATATATATATATATATATATATATATATATATATATATATATATATACTTTGCACCTAAGACTTTCACTCACCTTTGCACCTGTGTAATTTGATGTGATTTGATTTTATTTGATTTGATTCTCACTTATAGCACGTTGCAATTAAGGGAGAAATTCTATTGAACAGATTCTTTGACATCAAAGTAAACAAATAAAAGCCTGAATTGTAAAAACAGAATGTAATTTGAATCTATATGTGATTCAACACATAACGCATGATACAACTTATCTTATAATTGTGTAATTACATTTTAATAACAAATTAAAAGACATAATAGCATAGTAATGACATAATAATGTTCTGACTTTTAAATGAGATTTATTTAATATTTTCTTTTAGAATTTTAAAAAGTATTTTCATGACCCAATAACAAAAGTAATAGATTTCTCCAAAGTAGAGCAGCTACTACCTATGACCAAGGGTGTAAAAAGTACAAAAAATATACCAAAATGAAAGTATGAGAGCTTCTTCAATTAAAAAACAGAAGTATGGAGTCAACAATATACTTGAGTCAAAGTAAAGAAATATCAACATTTAAATATATTCATAGAAGTTTTCTTTGTTTGGTGGTGTGGTGCCGTGGCATTTTTAGAATACGTATGAGCAGTTTCATTATGCACTGATATGAATTTGGTTGGATGTTTCAATAAAACAATAAATTCATATGTATGTGAACTTAAATATACAGGAATTTGTAATGAGTACTTTGAAGGTCTGAATAAAGTATGTTTTTTTTTCTCTCTTGGAAATGTAACTGAGTAAAAATACAAATATCCAATTTCAATACTCCAGTAAAGTACATTTCCTCAAAAATAGTTCCTAACAAAAACATTCAAGTATTTTCCACCCAGCCAATGACTGAGAGGCATAAAAAGTTTGCTACCTTCCAGCTTACAACTAGATGCCATACAGGTACATGCAGACCCCTTAATGGCTGTAGACCCCCTGTTCCCAGCTGCACACTTGGGTATGCCTGACTAGAGACAGTCACAGGAAGCTTTTATCTCAGCTGAATCTCAGCTGTTGGGTGCACTTCTGTGCACCTCAAGCACTGGTAGTCACTGCCTGCTGCTCAATCGCAGTTTGAATTGGCCTGAATTATAGGCTATACATTTATATTTGGAAATAATGTCACAATCCAAGACATCCTCTGTAATCATTTTACAGTGCCTTTTTGCTTCTATAAGCAAACATACTGAATGGCTAAACTGTGTATTTAGTTTCTATACATTTCCACTTTATGACACACCGATGAGATTTTACACATTTGAATGATGACCACAGCAGGAAGTAAAAACACATGAGTTTGGAGATGTAGGTGAGAGTAATGTTAATCATGCCTAGAGGTGTGGGCTTTGCTGAGGTTACATTTTTTTCAGTCTGTTGTTATAGCACCAGAGAGTGTGTGTGTGTGCGCGCATGTGTGTGTGTGTAATTGAGGTGCGCTCTGAGGCGTTGACCAGGCTTAGCCTCCTGAGATCACAGAGAGATTGCGTCCCGTGGGTGGTTGTGCTGCAGGCATTGTGTGCAG